CCTCGTATCAGAGCCCTACAGCTGAAGGCACCCACAAACACAGTGGCAAAAAGGAAGACTGGCTTTTACAACTTTTCTCTCCGGGTTGCCCGGTTTAGCTTGTAGCCGTCTTCAGTACAGAAGTATATCACAGATTTTCAAGACAGGGTAGTGTCCCAAAATAAGGGACCTCCATATAGACCTTAATATACTATGATCCTTCGCATATGGACCGGCCAAAAAGGACTCCTAATTCGGGAAACCTTAGACCCTAAAGCCTAGCTCCTCCACCCTAAACCCTAAATTCCCTAAACCCTAAATATCCCGATATCCCTGTATAACCCCATAGGAAATATTTTTGGGTGGCTTCAGAATACACGAGCGGAGTCTGGAGTAATGCGAGGAGCCTGTGGAGAAAAATCTCCGGGGCGTATGATGAAGGCCTAAATATTTGGTGTTTAGGGTTTAGGGTTGGGTCCCTGTACTAAGGATAGGGGTCCCCCTGTTTTAGGAAACTACCATTTAGCAATATCTCAAGTTGAGGTCGATGTGAGGTGCCCTGTACCAGAATTACGGGAGCAGCTAGGGGCATGATATGGGCAATTCTTCACACCTCTACATTACTCAGGGCTTAGGGTTTAAAGCCTGTTATACACGAGTTATGTCAATATCTCCCAGAAAACTAATGGACATGTGCCGCTAGCATTAGGGTAGACATTGCGGACTATATCAAGCACAAAGAGGGGCCCCAACTTGGTAACCCTCAACCCTAAACCCTTAATCTCATGAGGATATTCCGGCATGGAGCTCACTCATACAACCCATTGGTAAACAAACTTTAAGGGTTAAGGGTTTGGGGACTAAGGGTTCAGGGTTTTGAAGTTGAGGATTTATGGTTTGAGGGTTTAGATAGCGAAGCCCCATCCTTTCTGTGCAGGCCGCCAAGCCTCACCCTGAAGCTGATAAACTCTGAACCTGAACCATCTAATAACAAAGGGATTGTAGTAACCCCAACCCGTAGAATTAGCACCCCATAACCAGCATATGAAGGTTCCCCAACCCCAAAATTAGGATCTTCTAGCCAGCATACGATAATCATAGGGCCCTAATTTTGGGGGTTGGGGTCAACCCAAACCCAAAGGTACACAGAATAATAGCCTTTTTGTCTCTTTCCTGGGTTTTGGGTCATCATTTTACCTCCAGCTAAACCAAAACCCTTGCTCTAGCCCTAAGGGTCGAGGTACCCAAGTAGTTACCAGATACAATAATTCATGCTCCACTCAGGATTCATATATACGCGCTTGGGGCCTTAGTGATCTACAACGTAAACACTTGGACCCTTAGGGTACACCCCATACTGGGAGGCAGCGGCACTTAGTAACTAGGTTAACAACCGGGATACTTCGGGTCACTACATGGGTTATAGAGGTTATTAACCTACTTGCTAAGTCCCCCTGACCCTCCAAGTAGCTGCATCTCGCAACTTTTCCCGGCTCTCGCCGCCATGTCTGGGCAGCACTTCTGGCTGTTTGGGCACACATGTTTGAACTCGGTAGACTCCAGCGGCGAAGAAAGCTCTTGTTCTTGGCGTGTTGGGAACTTTAACCCTCGAACACCATAAACCCTAAACCCATGTTCAGGGTTTCGGGTTCTACTCCATGCCCCGCATACTGCGGATGAAGGTCATCCTGTGTCATCCTCCTCCATCAACATGTACACTCCCCCCTTCAGCCATTAATCTTGGACATGCCTCCCAAAAGAGCTGGGCTACTATGGGGTTTACTGAATAGTACTTTAAGCCCGAATGAGTGAGATGTTCTGGAGCATTTCATAGTAGACATGTGCCGAACAGAAATATGACGCACGGCTTGGATTAGGTTTCGCCTGAGCAAGACTTCCCTGGAGGTCAGAACTAGCAGCAACGTGTTGAAGCAGAGCCACGCTGGCGTGAAATGATGAGATCTACCAGAGGCGAAGAACAAACTTAGCCTCTTTAGGGCTGAAGTTTGTTTCGCAGCGTCCGTGCCGGGGTGTTCGTTTTTGGTTGCTGGTCTCCTGTAGGGTGCTATTACAAGATTATAGTTCACATGAATAGCAATTGTTTGGGTGGTTGAACCTAGTCAGGTTACATTCTTCTTCTACAATACCATGCCCGCGAGGAGGATATCGTGATGCTCTATATGTATATATATATATATATTGAACACGATAGTATCCCCCCAAGATGCTACTCAAATGATTCAGGTGCCCACCTCCCAATGCAAAACAACTTGCATCACAGGGGTTTTCTCTCAGTTGCTTCCCAGGACCTAGCGTTGAGAGTCTATGACGTATCCCTAAACCCTAAACCCTACTACTAGACTAGTAATGTTGGGGAGAACAAGCAAGTAAAAAGCCGAACTCAAGAAGTTTAACCTCAACCTGAAATCAACTTTACAAGCTGAACCGCCTGAACCCCAATGATACAATATGACGCGGTTGAGGGGTTGAGGGTTAAGGGTTTAGGTTTTAGGGCCCAAATAGTACAACCTCTCGGAAAACCGCCGAATAATTCTTTTCATATCCCATATTTCCCATGTCTGACCTAGGTAGGTGCATTGCGAAACATTCGTTCTGGTAGAAACTACAAGAGGCTGTAAGATATTGCCTAATTGTAGTTTGATGTATTTTGTTGTTTTCTACTTATTCTACCACCTAAACCCTGAATAGCACGGTAGTGTCCATGATCTTTTCCATTCCTGCCTACCGCTATGCATACCAATGTCCGCCTGCCTGCCCTATTCCTGAACCCTGCAAACAACCGTTAATTCCAGTTTCTGCTTCATTTCCCGTTTCTTCCTTTATTTCTTTCTCCATCAATCACTTGTTCTGACATGGGCTCTCCAAACATAAGCTCAAAATGTAAGCCCGACTCTACATGGAGTTGTTATACCCCTATATGATATTCCGCGTATCTGAACGCGCCTCGCAAGGCACCTTCCTGCCCACTGTTGGGCTCAGCAGCATTTGGCCTCTAAGCGCTCGGAACCTGGCATTATTAGGGTTTACGGTTTAGGGTTTATAGGGCTTCGGGTTTAGGGCTAATCCGGGTTTGGGGTTTAGGGCTTGTCTGGGGTTGGTTTGAGGCTTGGGGTTTAGAGGTTTGGATCTCGGGCCCTGAGTAGGATGGTTTCTACATTTTTATCAGAGAGTACACGGACAGTAAGGCGGCACGCTATTCAGACTACTACTCGGCATTTCAGCGCTGTAGTGGGTTTCAGATTTAGGGAAGGCCCTATTTGGATGTCTTGACCGCAGAGACCGTTTTTGGTGGCATGTAGAAGGACTCTTGCCACAGATGGGATGCTAGCAATCTATCATCGAAGACTGCGTGGAGGTGCCAGGTAAAGATCCCGAAAATGCTCTTTCGGAACCAGCAAGCGAAGCTCCAAACGATCTGTGAGTTTTTCCAATGTAGGTCTGGAGTCTTTTCGGTGAGCTCCCCTTTTTGGGGATCCCTTATTGTACGGTAAGGGTCCAGCCCCAACACCCACACCAGAGGGATGGGGTTCGAGTTGACAATCCAAGGTTCAGGGTGCTAGGGTCCTAGGGTTCTAGGTCTTAGGGTCATCTAGGATGAGTTGTCCTTGTATCGTTCTCCCGAACTAATATTGATATCTCTTGTCACGTGATTTAGGGCTTTTGGTTTATCCATTGCTACTGGAGGTTGCTGTTATACCCACTTCTTCTCTTGCTACTACAAGGCTGAAGTTGGTATGACATAAGGCTGGCATGAGTCCAGCACACAGAAGGTGGCGGCTTGAACCCTGGAACAGTGCCGTGAAGCCACAGCACTAAGGCTCAGGGACTACACATGAGTTTCCTCCGAAGATACCGATTCAAACATTTGGGGGCATATTGGGGACCTCACCGTTTTCGGAAACATCCTTAAAAAGCTTCGCATTGGCGCCCCTTTTTTGCAGGGCGCTTGTCTGCCGACCGGCCTTTCGAGTTTCAGGCTTGTTTGAGGGTATCTTTACCATCGCTTTGAAGTGCACCACTGCACCACCGATGACGCCAACAACAACATCAGGGTTTTGCGGATACATTCAAAGGCCTGAAGAAAGCCCTCATCTTAGATCTGGAGGTGCCCACTGAAAACATGAGGCCTAATTAGACCCAACCCCCCTAAATCCTGAATCCCACCGCAACCCTAAACCCTAAATAGTAGCTTCCATTTTGTTTTCTATTCTCCCAATATAGCCCCAATATAACTGTGCAGCGGATCTTTTTTCTAGCCACCAGGAACAGGAAACCATCCACCCGGATGCCGCGTGGGCGGCTTCACCTCGGGGCCCCCGCATGGTTTGGGATTGCGGACTTAGGGATGCATGGGTTTTAGGTAGGGTTCAGGGTTTGAGGATTGTTGGGTTTAGGGTTCAGGGTTTGAGGTTAGCATTTAGGGATCAGGTTTAGGGTTTGGGGCTGAGGGTTTAGGGATTAAGGTTTAGGGCAAGGGCTTGGGATGGTTCCAAAAGAGGGAGCCCCCTTCTAATGAACACTCAGCATATCATAGACTTCATTCTAGGGACCCTCGATTCTTTGTTTTCGGGAGCCCTAAACCCTAAACCCTAAATAGTAGTCTGCATTGTATTCCCCATTATCCCACTGCAACCCCAAAACAACCCTTATATTACCCCAATAACCATATATTCCGCAACCGTATAAGACCCTTGGTTTTTGGGAGCCAGTGTAGAATCCTGCCGCTTAAAGCCCCATAGTCCCCCTCAAGTAGGTAGAATATGGGGTATATGGGGATCTTTTTATAATATACCCAAAGCCATATTCTATCTACTTAAGGGGGACTATAAGTTGTAGTAGAACCCCGACCTTGAGCAAGGGAGAAGCATGGAGAAGCACTGCTTCCAACAGTTTGTGCTTTAGGGTTTAGGGTTCAGTAGCTAGATGGCAGAACACTTTGTTTCGGGTTTGGCAGAATGTTCAAGTAAGTGGGCATTCGAAAGAAAAGAAGTGCAAGTCGCTGGCAGCTTAAGAACTTCACGACGTCGAAGCGGTTGTGGTGCGAGGCGATCCACCAGGGCGTGGCGCCTCGATTGTTTGCCTTGCTGCGGTCTGCGCCAGCCTTGTGCAAATTACCTTTACGATTGCAGTTTGCATTATACTATCATTGTACAGTGAGTATAGGTACATCTGCAAAGATTACTGCTACTGCTACTATTCCATTTCCACCATGGCGACTATTGCGAAGCAGATTGTTTGTGAACATCCTTGCACTTGTTTCCCCAGCGTCACTAGACTGCGATTCGTAGGGGAACGGAACAGTCATGGTTACTTGTCTGTTCACGGTCAACACTCTAGTACTTCTACCATCATGTTTTTACAGCTGCTGCTAAGTTAGTCCTTAGTTTACTGGGCATAAAAAAATCCAATCCGCAATTCTATTCAACCCCTCACCACAAAAAACACAGGACCTAAGCAGAGTGCTGGCCTCGTGCAGCAAGCGCACGACGGGGAGGTGGCCCTTGCCAGATTCACTACTGACCCCAAGTTCTAGGGTTTAGGATTACACCCACAAATCCCCAAAATTGAAATCTAATCCCTACATCTTAGATTGGAAGCCCTAAGACATAAATCTTAAGCCCGCAGCCCCTTGAACCCTTAACCCTAGATAACCCTGCGCAGACATACAAACGTACATGTAAAATCCATACCCCGAATGGTCTCGAACAAGCCTTTGCCAGGACCCATAGTCCTTGGCCTGTGCGATCCACGAGGGGACTCATGACAACTGATAGCTTCCTAGGATTAAGGAGAACCCATATTATCCCCCAAAGCATATACCAAATATTTACATAGACCTTTTGGGACTTTAATGGATCATGGTCCTTGGCCGATGCGATCCAGAGGGGGGACGCACCGCGAGCATCAGGCCGATCCTTGTCTACGCCAGCACTGAGAAGCAGCTGCACCACCTTACTGTGATCAGGATTTAGGGTCTGAGTGTTGCTCGGGGATCTGTCAGGATTCGGTGCTCTATAGGCATGTAATGGATGCATAGGGGCCTAGAAGGTTCAGGATTTCAGGTTTGCCGAACTTGGGAGGTACCCTTCGGGCTGTGATGGCTTGAGGCATGAACGGGATGACACAAGGGGCTATGGGAGTCCAGACTTACACCAAGTTCCCCTTCTACACCCCTAGGTTCCTTAGCTAACCTTAACTAAGCCTAATTATCCTTGAGTATCCTTCATTAAGTGGGAACCCAGGGGCGTAGTATAGAGGTAGGGGAGCCCAGTGCTCTCCCCACATAGCCCCAGCGCCCCTCAAACCCTAAACCCTAAAACCCTAAAACCCTAAAACCTAAATTCCTAAAGCCTAAATCCCTAAAGCCTAAATCCCTAAAGCCTAAATCCCTAAACACTAAATCCCTCCATCCTAAACCCTACGCCCTTAAACCCCAAACCCTTAGACCTTCAACCCTCCCCCTTATTTCGATGAACCCCAAACCTTGGCGTGGCCCATCTCGGAGGCTTTCCAAAGAGGCGATTCGGCCAGGACATTGGCCTAGGTTCCCCAGTAACCCCATAATAACAAGCCTATTAGGGTTGAGGGTTTAGGATTTGTGTTTAGGGTTTAGGATTTTGGGTTTAAGGTTTAGGGTTTAGGGTACATAGCAACTACTTATACTTGGGTTTCTAACCCTAGGCTCCCCAGTAAGCCCTTGATAATGAGAGTACCCTTTTTCCTTGTGGTCAGCTTCAATAAGGAGACCCCAAAACAAAAAAGGGAAAAAAGGTTGCTACGGGGGTACCTAGTAGCCTTATCCTTGTGGGCGCCTTCTTGGATGAGCAGGCTAGCAATCTCCGAATGGCCTTGAAGAGGTTGCTGCAGTTTGGAGTTTAGGGTTTAGGAGACATATTGGACTTGCCTAGGCCTCCCTAAACCCTAAACCCTAAACCCCAAACCCTAAACCCTAAACCCTAAACAGCAAGCCTACAGAAGCCCTGTAATGTATTGTGGGCACCGATCAAGCCAGGCCTTGGACACCTGTGTCTCGATGTGCTTACTACAAACCTGTCTAAGTCCCTTCCCCCAA